TCTTGGGAGGGAAGTGGGGACGGCGATGGGGGGGGCCGTGGGGGAAGCAATGCACCCTATTTCCTATGTGAGAGGCGACATGAGCCGCAATGGCAACTGCTACCGCATCCGCCCGGGGTTGATGGTGGTGGTGGTGCTGGGACATGTGTGTGTGTGTCCCTTGGCCCCTGTCATCCTTCTTTGCTCCTGCCAGGGGACCCCCGACGGACCCTGACCCATTTCAGCCAGGACAACGTCTCCCACTATGACATCTTCCTCCTGCATGAGAGCGAGGAGGAGCTGTACGTGGGGGCACGTGACCGCGTGCTGGCCCTCACCGTCGGCACCCCAGGCAGCATCCGTGCCAAAGCCTCGGTGAGCAGCAGCTGCTTTTGGGGAGGCTGGGGGGGGGGGTGTGTGCCCTCTGCTGTGCCTCAGTTTCCCCACTCAGGCTGGGCGCTTGTGGCCTGGCTCAGCAGCTGTGGACCGTCTCCCTTCCCTCCACAGATAATGTGGGGACCCACAGCCGAGAAAACCTCTGAGTGCGCTTTTAAGAAAAAGAGCCAGGAGGTGAGACAGCACCAGGAGGGGCTTGGGGCAGGTCCCACGGAGCTGCAGGGATGCCCAGCCCCTGCCTCTGCTCTTTCCCCCCTGCAGACTGAGTGCTTCAACTTCATCCGGGTCCTTGTGGCCCTGAACCAGACCCACCTCTACGTCTGCGGGACCTATGCCTTCAGCCCCGCGTGCACCTACATTGTGAGTGTCCCCTCCACCAAGGACGGGGACGAGGGGGGCTCTCCGGACATGTTGTGGCATTGCCGCGAGAAGCCACAAAATACTAGCCCAGGAGCCCCAGTAGGATGGGGGATTTGAGCTAATTGCATCACGGGAAGTCCCCTGGGATGTGAGGTGCTAGGTGCCCCCCACCACCCAGGTGCATCTTTGCGTTTCATGCACTAAAGGAGCCCATGGTGTTTCTAACCACGGCTGCCAGAGACTTTTCACCTGCCAGGTCAGATACAAGGTGGTAAACCTCTGATTTTGGGTCCCGGTTCCCTCAGGTGACCCCAGGCAGCCTGTCCTGCCTCAGTTTCCCCACTTCGCTGAGCACGTGGTGAGCACCGCAGCTTCCCCACAGGCCAGAGGGAGTCCACAGCCATTTCTTGCAGATTTGGAGTTTGTTTTAACTCCATCAGCTGATTTTTCTCCCCTTTCCCACAGCACCTGGAGAACTTCACACTGATATCCAGTGGCAGAGGACAACCTTTCCTGGATGGGAAGGGCCAGTGCCCCTTTGACCCCCAGCACACCTACACGGCCCTGCTGGTGGGTGAGTATGAGGCCAGTGGCCCCCACGGGTGGGCACCCATCCCTGGGATGGAGTGGAGGGTGACGACGGGGGAGTCCCTGCTGCAGCTCACCCCCCTCCCATCCCCGAGCAGATGGCGAGCTCTATGCCGGCACCATGAACAACTTCCAGGGCAACGAGCCCATCATCTCCCGCTCGCTGGGCAGCCGGACCCTGCTCAAGACAGATGCCTTCCTCCGCTGGCTTTCGGGTGAGCAGGGAGACGGTCCTTGGGAGGACCCCCTGGCCCCCCTCACCCTCCCCATGCCGGGGGTGCCTGCAGCAGCCCCCCGAGACGGTCCTTGGGATGACCCCCTGGCCCCCCTCACCCTCCCCGTGCCGGGGGTGCCTGCAGCAGCCCCCCCCCCCTCATTCCAGCTCCTCACCCACCTGCCCTGGCTGTGCCCCACAGCTGATGCTGCCTTCGTGGCCTCCTTCAGCATCCCTGGAGATGACAAGGTCTACTTCTTCTTTGAGGAGACAGCTGATGAGTTTGATTTCTTCGAGCGGCTCCTGGTGCCGCGGGTGGCCCGTGTCTGCAAGGTGGGTGCAGAGACGATGACGAAGGACGATGACGGGGGACGATGGGGGTACCCAGCTCCTGTCGCCCCAGGGCTGAGCATCCTCCCGGCTCCCGCAGAGCGATGTTGGGGGTGACAAGGTGCTGCAGAAGAAGTGGACGACGTTCCTGAAAGCCCAGCTGGTGTGCTCGCAGCCCGGCCACTTCCCCTTCAACGTCATCCATCACGCCTTCGCCCTGCCCCGCCGCAACGGTGGTGCCGACTTCTACGCTGTCTTCACCTCGCAGTGGTGAGTCCCAGCACCCAGGGGTGCTGTGGGTGCACTGGAGACCCACGTCCTCCCCATGCCCACCTTGCTGTCTCTGCAGGCAGGCGGGCAGGGCGGGCAGCGCAGCCGTCTGTGCCTACAGCCAGGAGGCTCTAGAAGAGGTCTTCGAGGGCAAGTACAAGGAGCTGAACAAGGAGAGCTCCCGCTGGACGGTTTACAGCGGCCCCGACATGAGTCCCCGGCCCGGCAGCGTGAGTGCTGCCCACCCGGGGGACCAGACCCTCCTGGGAGACGATACTGGTCCCCATGGGGAGGGGTTTGTCTGTCCCAGTTTGCCCTGTGTGCTCGCATTGGGGTGAGATGGTGGTGGTGTCGCAAGCGGGATGGGAAAGGTGGAGGGTCCCTTTGCAGCCAACTGATGCTGGCACGGGGCAGCCTGGTGCGTGCCCCCTCCCTCCCCCTGCCTCAGTTTCCCCACGCCAGCACTGACTTCTCTCTCCCTGCAGTGCTACATGGGTCCCTCCTCTGACAAAGCCCTCACCTTCATGAAGGACCATTTCCTAATGGACGGGAAGGTGTCACCCACCCAGGGGCGGCCGCTGCTGGTGAAGACGGACGTCACGTACAAACGCATCGCGGTGGACGAGACCCGTGGTGTCTCGGGGTCCACCTACCGTGTCATGTTCCTGGCCACAGGTGGGTTTACATGGGGGTACTCACAGGCCACCTGGTCACCCCTCCTACCCTTCCCTTGGCTCCCCCAAAACACCAGTGATGTCCCGTGTGCCCCCACAGCGGAGGGTTTCCTGCACAAAGCAGTGGAGCTGCCTGGGGGTCCCCACATCGTGGAAAGCATCCAGCTCTTCGGGACGCCGGAGCCGGTGAAGAACCTACTGCTGGCCCCGGGGAAGGTAGGGGCTGGGAATGACCCAACAGCCCACCCCAAACCCAGCACAGGAGGGTGGGGGGGAGGCTCAGCCCTGCGCCTCTCCCTCCCCAGGGCATCCTCTACGTGGGCTACTCCGGTGGCGTCCTCCAAGTCCCATTGGCCAACTGCAGCCTGCACCGGAGCTGTGCTGAGTGCGTGCTGGCGCGGGACC